CTCGCCAAGTCTCGCATCCAGGTAGTTATTAAATACCTTTTTTTTGTGGCTGTGAAGAAATCAAAAAAACTTTTTCACTTAACTACCGCGCAGCGGAGAAGCAAAATTTTGGCCCATGAGCGTGAGTGTTTCGGAGAAATCTGTCCGTGGTTCTTGTCCAGTTGTTGACATTTGCGGGATGGGGCTACCATCACGGCTGATCTGCAGTCCCGCCGTGATCGTTCTGCTGTCCCCCCAATTCATAGCATTCCTGAACTATACAGCTCTACAGGCTGCAGGCTTACCTTGGCCTCAGCCTAGGTTTTTACTTATTTTCCCCTTCTCCTCGTCATCCAAGAACTGTGCTTGTGATATCATCTAGAACTTTGATGGATCTGCATCCCCGCAGCATGGTAGATGGTGGGTGTGTTCCGGAGGTGTGGGAGCGCACTGATACCCATCACATCGGACCTGTCAGCCAGGTCTGGCAGCCCCCGCCCCGCCCCAAGTCAAATAGGCTGGAGGCCGCCCTAAAGTGAAAATAAATAATAAGAAAAAAATCAGAAATTAGGGCTTAAGTATGAGCATGGGTCTGTTGCAATGTTTAATTCAGGTAAACTAAGGGTTTAAACCAGTAAATGTGGAAAAAAATCAAGTCTTGTCAATGATTTGAAAATTCACCCTGGTGGTAAGTGATACTCAATGGAGCCCTATGTTCTAAATCATGATAAAAATTTGAAATAATCTGTATTAAAAGGGAAGTTTGGTAAGTGATACTCAATGGAGGCCTATGTTCTAAATCATGATAAAAATCCATGTAATCTGTACTAAAAGGGAAGTGAACTATAAGACTATAAAGTTTGATATTTTGCGCAAGACTATCAGCTATACCAGAAAATCAGACAATGTCGTTCAAATATGGTCCCATGTGACTGACCAACATGCGGAGACCAAATCAAGTCAAATGGTTCCTCACATCAAGGTGCTAAACAGTGATGGCTACTAAGCAATATGAATTAAACACATTCCAGACAGTGTAGGCCAAAAATAGTACTGGACAATATTGGTCATAATGCTAATCTGCATCTCACTAGCTCAAAAGTGCAAGAGAATCAAATCCAAAGCAGATGATCACTGGTCACAATTCTCTCCCAGAAAGTGTACACCAAAAATGCAAATTAATTAAAATTTTATTATTGTTCCAGAAAATATGTGATAAAAAATCAATGTGAGAATTTTGAATGACAAATAAGTGGGCAGTCTGCACCTTATTATAACTACTGGCTTATCTCTGGAGTGTAGTGAGTGCAAAGGGTAAGAGAAGCAAAACTAATCAGACATTGCAAGCACATCATAATTCACTTCCAGAAAAATGAATATGAAACTTAACAGCTCCAGAAAGTATATGGCAAAAATCAGGTTTGATTGATTTGACTGTAAAAATTGATTGGAGAGTTTTGAATGACAAATAAGTGGGCTGTCTGTCTGCACACAGAGATACCCTTATTATAAGAACTTGCTTATGTTAGGATCAAAGGGTAAGAGAATCAAAACCGGCCTCAATCAGAGATTGAAAGCAGATAATCATTTAATTCTTTATGAAAATGAATATGAAATTTCATAGCTCCAGGAAGTATATGGTAAAAAAATCACCTTTGATTGATTTGTTAGTATTTGGACAATAAACAGGTGGGCAGATAAAGAAAAATAACATGATTTCTCAATGGATTCTCAATCTGGTGTTGATTTGAAATGATTCACAATAATGCAAATAAACCGATCACTGTTGGCATGCCGTAATAGCAAACATATGATAAATCAGGGAATATCAGCGCCTTATCACTGATGTAACAAGTGTGCAGATGCTGTCACATGGGAGGATGTAGTTCCTGGTTTCCATAGAGTCAACATTTGATAGCGCTTCTCGGGTAAAATGGTGGGCCGGGTTATGTCTTGTGATGGTTGACCGAGGTCACGTGATCTCATTAGCTTGGCTTGGCATACTCAACTGTTGAAGTTGTCAAGGCCCGGCCTCCCTAGCGGAAGCCTGTGCTGCCAACCGCGGCCTTAGTTTTGACGATCATCAGATGATGTGGTAATGATACTCATGATCTGTTGGCATGTGAGCAGCATGCAGCTTCCGTTGGTCAGTGAGCCGGGCCACATCAGCATGTGCGCCATGTGCACATGCACAGGGTACTTAGCAACCGGTGTCATCAGGCCATATAGAGGCGCAGTGATGTCTGGATTCTCGGGACTCGGCAAGGAAGATCTGCGCAGCCACGCGGCGGCAGAGCACATGTGGGTCCTGCCGTGCTCCTCTCCAGTTCCCTCCTGGCTCAGCGGCCTCCCAGTATCACCGCTGTTTGCCCGCCATCCGCTCAATTTTGCTTGGTGGCTCCAATTTTTTTTTTTGCCAGTGATAAGCACCACGGCTGTTGCCGCACCGCCACTGACCAGTATCACATGTGCAGCTGCCCGAGCGCCTGCGTTCTGCCCCCCTTGCCCCCCATAGGGCACAATATCCCCAGACACAAGCAAGTCCGTTTCTACCACCAAATCGAGGTCCGGCGGCGGAGGGACTGGCGACCTCCCGTCCTGCTTTTTAGTTCCTTCCTGGCTCAGCGGCCTGCCAGTATTACGGCTGTTTGCCCGCCATCCGCTCAATTTTGTTTGGTGGCTCCAATTTTTTTTTGCCAGTGATAAGCACCACGGCTGTTGCCGCACCGCCGCTGACCAGTATCACATGTGCGGGTGCCCGAGCACCTGCGTTCTGCCCTGCCCGTGGCCTCTTGCTCCCCATAGAGCCTAATCTCAGGTAAGAATGCGGTCACGTGACCGGATTAACGGAGCGTTAATGGTCTCCACACTGTTGTGGCCGCGATGGCGTCCGCAGCAGCGCGCCGCGGCCGGCGATTTCGGGTTGACAACGGTTCGGATCTCCACGCGTGGGAGGCTTTCCGGCAGGCCGCGTCCGTCGGCCTCCGATCCGTCTGAGCATGTGGGCACATGCAGGCGGGTGCCTGGCAACCGGCGTGATGAGGCCGCCCTGGTGTGCAGTGATGTCTAGTTCGTCGGGACTCGGCAGGCAAGCAAGATCCGCGCTGCCATGCGGTCCAGCCGTAGCCGACCTCATGAACATCCGCCCAACAGCCACAGCAAATCGTTCCTGGCTCAGCTCTCTTGTGTTCCTTCCCGTTTTCCTGTGCAACGCCTTCCATTTTTGCTGATGGGCGCCCGCGTCCCTTTTTCTCGTGCCAATGCGCTGCGCAACTGCCGGGCCCGGCCCCGGCTACGCTGGCCTGCCGCAGAGCAGTATAAGACGCGCGGCCGCCCATGCGCTAACACCCCCGCTACGCTCGCGGCTGCTGACCAACAGCGGCTTGCCTTGTTGCGAACTCCCTCGCCGTGGGCGGCTTTGCGCCGTGCGGGCATCCGAGTGCCATCACGCCCGGTCCGCTGGCGTGGGAACCCGGGCCCCGTGGGTATAAGAACCCGTGCAAGCGTCACATCGATGGCGCCTTCCTTTTGCCTTCACCCCCCTCTCCCTCTGTGCTGTGTTTCCCGGGCCGCCCAACGCGAGCCGCTCCCTTTGCGCAGGGTGACAAGGTGCGTGGCCGTTGTGTGGAGACAATGTCCGCTGACTCATTTGCCAGCACGCTGCTTGTCGGTGTCGGCCTCGCGATGCACAACGTGCGCCGCTTTCCAGTAGGTCTTTGCGTCGGCCTTCGCCGCGGCCTCCCCCCCGCGACTCCGTGCTGATGATCGGCAAGGTGAGTGACGGTCATTGGGTATGCTCAGTTGCTCACCAACTGCTAGTCGTATCAAGACTGGCGGGGCCATTCATTGCTTGGCTGTAAGGTGAGCGTTGCCCGCTGCCCGTTCCCGCGCGGATGCCTAGTTGTTGCTTGCTGACTCATTTTCTTAGTAGGCCTCAGCGCCGTTGTGTCCGCGCCCGCGTCCTCACGACAGGCAAGGTTAGTGGCGGCCGTCCTGTATGCACAGTGGCTCACCGTTTGCTCTCGAAGCTGGCGCGGCCACCGCTTTGCCGTGACAAGCGATGGGCCTTCGCTTCCCGTTCCCGCGCAGTCGCCCAGCTCGTTCGGCTCGAAGGAATTGCTTGCAAAGTGGTGAGTTGTCTTGCTTTCCGCGCGATGTATCTCATCTCACAGGTTTCGCCGGGCAAGTACTGCCTCCGACGTTGGCTGACCCGTTCCAGCCCAGCTCTATCGGCGAGCCGCGAGGCTGCCGACAAAGGTGAGTCGGCGTCTTTCGTTGTGTGAGAATCTTGCTCATGCGTCGCGTCGTTGAGGCGCCGGCATTGCGTCTGGGTTGGGAGCTACCCGCTTTGCCGTTCGGACGACATCTGGATGGGCTGCCCGTCTCCGCGCGGAGTCGCTCACCGCGTCCCGCTGGATGCCGGCAATTGCTTCATATTGGTGAGTTGTCATGTCTTGCCCGCGATGCATGTTCTCACCGCAAAGATTTGGGCGCGGGCCGCCGGCCTGGTCGCTGTTCCTAGGTGAGTGGCCCACAATGTTTCCTCCCAAGGTGCCTGCCCTGTTTCGGCGCAGCTTTATCAAGGCCGGCAACGGTGAGTCGGCGTCTTTGCCCCGGAAGATTGCTCATTCGTCGCATTGTTTAGGCGTTGTTGTTGTCGGCGTCGAGCAGAACGGCAAGTCGGCTTTACTTGCTGAATCGATCAGTCAGAAGACCGTCGCGTCAAGCTTGAGGTCGTCGGCAACGCCTTTGGCGTTGGTACAGGTTGGCGCTGAACTTGGTGCGGTGCCAGTTCTTGCGTGTGTGAGTGTGAGTGTCGTCGCTTCCTGTCATTGTGTTCGCTCACTTGTTTTGTGCGTGTGCTTGGTGGTGCGGGATGTCTCTGGTGAGTTAGCCATGTATCGACCCCAGTCGATGCTGATCGTCGTCTTGCAATGGCAGTTGCCAGGTTATAAGATGAGAAAAAGGACAGTCTCTTGTGTATATATACATAACAAAAACAGGTATATTTTTCTTTCTTTCTACAGCTGCATCTTGCCCGTCAACCTGATATCCCGCGAGCTCGCGCCGACCGCGACGCCGACCTCACCCTTCACGAGCACCCACTTCTGCGCGACGACGTCCCAGACGCTGAGGTCCTTGACCCGCAGCGGGATGCTCACGCCCTTGCTCTGGCCCGCACCGAGGAACACCCGCGAAAACCCGCGGAGCAGTCTGGGCGGCTCGTTGTAGGCAGCGGGGAATGTGAGGTACAGTTGTGCGACTTCGGCGCCGGCGACGCGGCCGGTGTTTTTGAGGGTGAAGGAGACCGAGCCAAACGGCGCATAGAGCGCGGCTGGGCCGCCGATATCGCCGACGGGGGACGAGCCGGCAGAGGGCGCGGATGCGGTTGAGGAGGGGCGGACGGAGGAGGACGCCGAGGCGGAGGCAGAGACGGAAACGGCGATGGAGGACGCGTTGGCGGGGCGGGAAGAGACGGCCGGTGCGGAGGACACCGGGGACGCAGACGGCTTGCTCGAGATAACCGGGGCAGAAGACGACGACGGACGGGAAACCGCCTCAGCGCGGCGCTTATGGCCCGAAACACGCAGGCCGCTGTAGCCAAACGTGGTGTAGCTCAGCCCGAACCCAAACTCGAAGCGCGGCTTGATGCCCTTGACGTCGAACCAGCGGTAGTCGATGTTGACCCCCTCGTCGTACGTGAGCTGCGGGTTGCCGTTGTTCGGGACATTGTTGGTGTACAAGACTTCCGCAGCGTAGTCCTCCCGCTTCTTCGCAATGGTGTACACAAGCTTGGCGCTCGGGTTCGTCGCCTGCGGGCTGTCGCTGAACAAGACATCAACAATTGCGTTGCCGCTCTCTTGACCAGGAAGGCCAGCTTGGAGGACGGCGGTCACGTTCGGGTGGTCGATCCAGTCCTCCACGGTGACCGCACCGACAGCGTGTTGTACGACAATGGTGTTGGCGCACTGGCCAGCGACGTTGGCGATGAGCGCCTCCCCGCCGTGCCAGAGGGTGATGTTGTTCCGGTCACCTTGGTTGCCGCCGACATTGATGTAGCCCTCGCCCGAGTCCGCGTTGACAAAGACAAGGCACGCGTCCGAGTTGCGCGCAACAGGGGCCATCGCATTGTAGGCGTAGTCGGACAGCACGCCCTCGACGACGACGGTGGGGTTGATCGAGCGGATGTGCGCCGAAATGGCGGCGAAGGGGTCGACGAGGTAGGGGAAATTGGCGGTGCCGGAGCCCCAGCCCATCGCCAGAGTGCCTTCGTTGCAGCCCTTGTCGTTCTGCCCGTCGCTGCAAGCATTCGGCCCCGCCGGGTGAGGAGCGGCGTCGGAGCCGAAGATTCCAACGCCTAGCAACATATTAACATTTGCAACGGAACCAGTATAAGGTTATACACACGCTTGAGCTTGCGCACGCTAAGAGGCAGCGCGTTCTTGGTGTTCTTCAGGAGGACCGTGCTCGCAGCGCCGATTTGGCGGATGAGCTTGTAGTGGTCGGCCTGGACGCTATATCTGACGTTAGCCTCAAGCAAATAACAATGGAAACGGCGCACTTGATGTGCTTGTTGACGAGCTCGCCGTTGAGGTAGGTGTCCTGGGTGAGCTGCGAGAACGAGACTTCGGGATAGCCGCGGTCCTGGCCGAGCTTGTACCACGTCGCGAAGATGCGGGTTACCTAAAGGAACTCAGCATATACTCTCCGGACATGGAAGGATGCCGCACCATGTCGTCGATGCGCGATTCAGGCACGCTGCCGTTCCTGATCATGTTGATCAGCTCGACGCCCCACCACGAGTTGGTCGCCTTGCTCGGGTCGGGCTGGTTCTGGTCGCCGATTCCCTAGAAACGCGTCTTAGCCTTTGCGACGCGGATGGCGCAGACGACGCACGTATCCAACGAAGCCAGGCATGTTCATGTCGAGCCCGGCGAGCGCGGGCTGGACACCGTTGATCATCGCGGCCCAGTCGGACATGATGAAGCCCTGGAAGCCGAGTTCCTCCTTGAGGATGCCGTTGATGAGTTTCGAGTTCTGGCAGGCCTGCGTCTGGTTGACGAGGTTATATGAGCACCTGCGAGGCGGTTAGCACCACCGAAAGGAAGGCAGGATGGGAGGAGGCAAGGCTGACTCACATGACACTGCCCACGCCGACTTTGACGGCCTCCGCGAACGGCCACAGGTACACCTCGTGCATCGTCTTGTCGTCCAAGTTACTCGACGCAATCGGGAAGCTCTCCGAGCCGCCACGGAAGTGCTCTTGCTCGTTGGCGATGCTAAGAAATCGGTTAATCACACCGAAAAATCCGCACCACAAGCGAAGCACGCACAAATGCTTGACGGTGGCGATGACACCGACACTCTGCATGCCCTCGATCGTGACGGCGGTCGCGACACCCGCGAGGAAGGGGTCCGAGCCGAAGCCCTCCCATTGGCGGCCTGCGGCGGCTTGTCGGCCTGCGGGAGAAGATCAGCAACGGAAGCGAGAAGGACGGAGATCGAAGGGAAAAGAAGGACCAAATACGTACCGAGGTTGGTCATCGGCCCGAGCGCCACGTTGACGCCCTTTCCTCGGTGTTCTTGGGCCATGGCTACTCCGCGGGCTCTAGTTTTTCACGTCAACGCAGCAAATGCAAGTAGAGGTGGCACCCACTTGATGAGGTCGACGTCCCATGTCGCTGCCGCGTTGATGCTCGCGGGGAAAGCAGAGGCGAAGTCTGCGAAACGGACACCGAGTGGGGAGTCCTCTAGACAGAGCCCGGCCCATTTGAAGCGAGGGAGGGTCTGTGTTCGGTTCAGTGAGATACATTGACGTGGTGAATGGGCCACTCACTCCGGTGTTGCCGACGCAGCGCCCATTGACGTCCACGCCGGTCGTTACGTTGACCTTCTCCTCAATGGTGAGCTGGGCGGTGAATTTGCGAGCGCGGGCGACGAAGGGGGCCCAGTCCGCGCTGCCTTTTACGTCGGGCGCGGGTACGACGATCGGGGAGGTCCACTCCTCGTAGCCAGCGGGGGCGGAGTCGGGCACGCCAGTGGTGAGGTCGGCATAGGCGCGGGAGACAGCCAGTGCGAGCAGCACGTGTTTTAGGAGTTGCGGCACCATTTTTCAGGCGCGCGTAAACGAGCGAAAGGAGAGTGGGAGGGGAGAGGAAGGAAGGCAGGAGGCGGGGCGAAGAGCGGGGGTGGTTTATATGCGCTGCCGGCAGGGTGTCGGGATTCGAGTTGGAGTCGAGGAAAAGAAGCGTCGACGGTGTGCTTCGTGGCAGATCCGAGCGTGGCGATCAATGCGCGTGACCGCAATTAAATGCATACGGAATACGGGACCGATATCACACGCCCCGGCGCTGCCAGCGAAGCAACGCCAGCGAAGACCTGCCAGCGATGCAGGAACGCCCGCGCCAGCGCATAGCCATCTATCTAAAGAACGAGAAGCGCCGACGGAGCGGGGAATGGTCGGAGGACGAGAAGGGAGTGCCAGCAGAAGAGCCGAGCAGGGCGATCTGGGAATCATGGAGTAAAATTCACATTTATCAGAGCGCGACATGGCCAAGGACGCGGCGAGCGGCGACGCGTGGGGCAGATGATGATCACCTTTCTTCTAAATAAGGTGTCAACGTCATTCGGCGACAACGCGGATATGGGTGATGGGTGGATGAAGACACTGCCAATGTAAGGGGCCAGTCGATTCTCGAACGCGCAACGGAGCATGTCCAGCGCAACGGCGCACAGAACCCCGGGAGAGACGCGAAAGGGCGCGGCGCGGCAGTGAGGCTTCCTTGGCGGGCGGGCGGCTGCAGATCAGAGATCGGCACATATGGCGGCATTCCTCCTCGCCCATCCCCGACGTTGCAATGCGGCCTCCAAGTCTCCAACGCAGCGCGGGCGCGAAGTGCTGGTCGAGGAGGTGCTGGCGCGTGAGTGCAGATGAGCGCTCGCCTGGGTGCTACCGAGTGCCTGTCCGTTTTGCTCCCGCAGGCCCTGAGCTAGCACGATGACCATGACTACGCCGAGACTTCCAGAGTGGGCCCGGCATCAATGTCGTCTGACGTCAATATGATTCTAGGCATGCGTCGAGAGTATATTTCGGCCGCACATCACTTTGCGAGCTTTGGGAATTATGTGAATTTATGTACCCAGAGTGCAAAAATGTCATTATAATAATAATAATAACAAATATGATCATACAGAGCTGCTATATCCACTCCATCAGCTGGTCTTCCTATAGTATAATCTCCATAATCCATGGTCCAGAGGGGGGGGTGTTATTGTTCGAAAAATGGTTATACTGTACTGTTGGAAAGCCTTTTGAATGTCTTATCTATCCCAGATAAGACTGATGATAGGATATTAATGGATCTGAACTGTCCTTAATATGACCGCATTAGGGGTCCCAACTTTTGAAAATTGGATATACTGTTGAATTGTTTTTTTTAGGCCATCTGGGACCCCCCTCCCCTTACCATATCGGGTAATATATTCCCATGATTGCACATCATGTGACCTGAAGATACAATCAAAAGTGGTGATAAAATATATAATTCCAGCAAGGGGGGTTCAAGTCTTGAATCATGGATATAGGGTTGAAAAGTTTTTTTTCCGACCCCTGGGGGACCCCCCCCCCTCCCCCCTCCTGCCATATCGGGTAATATGTTCCCACAATTTGCGTCATGTGACCACTGATGCGATCAAAAAAGTGGGATAAAAAATTCAATCTTTGTGAAACTTTTTTTTTGCAAATTTTTTTATATATGTATATGTGTATATGTGTATGTATGTATGTACCTGGAACCTTCAAACACATATGGCAGGCTATATCAGCTCTTCAACATGTTCACCTCTCATTAATTACCTGTCAATAGACCTATGACAGAGTGGGCTATCCAAGCTCATGGGCCTGAAGGTATATAGATATAAGTATGAGAGTTGTGAACTATAGAAATTGGAGTATATACACTACATTTTCAGTGGCTTTACACCCATATAAGGCCTAAATCTTTCATATACAAAAAGTTTTTTTTACCCCCCTGAGACCCCCCCCCCCCTACCCTATGTGCCTGATAAGGATCATGAACCCCCCCTTGAATTCCAGTTACATTCATTAGAATACTTTGACTTTTGAGTAATACATAGCAATTGAGTCTCTACAGTATTACTGGTAGGCTTCCTATGATTATATGTGATTAAATGTCAATGATAAATTGTGAGGCTAGTCACACTCCAGTCACACTACAGCCCAACTAAACTGCTGAAAGCCTTGCCATAGGCAAATAGTGGGGCTAGTCAGTATCCATCTTGCATTCTATGCTAGAATGCTACACATATACTCCAAACACAACCTCAAACCCACCAAAACCCCCCAAACTTTGGTATAGCAAAAGTTTTTTTCACCATGCCTGGGACTCCCTCCCACCCCATGTCTGTGATAAGGATCTTGGGACCTCCTGGCCCCTAACTTAATATATTGCTTTAATTTTAATTGGATTTATTGAATTTTTTCGTTTACAAACATCATCATAAATTGATGTTCAGTTGAATATAGTGGTATAGTTGGTATTGTTTTTGTGGGCTCACACTACCAACTGGATGATAATATGAGGCACTTGCCACAAGTATTTTGGAGTCAGGGTAGGCAAACATATCAAAACTAAAACAGTTTCCATGTTATCAATAAATTTACCTCAGTAATTATTATTACTCTTATATTAAGCACATGTTGTATAACACTGATGGCAAAGCTAATGGCAGTTGGAGAAGGTGGGGTCCAACGGGAGTTTCAAGGCAGATTTTTTTTTTTACTTTTTTTTCAAACAAAGATTTCTTTGTTTGCCTTTGTACTCCTGTTGGGCCTCCCTTTGGCAAACTACTGCACCCGGTGTAAATGTATGCACATGTTTGGCACTGGCCTCAGTAATTCATTTGCTTTATGATTCCATTTTTGGGGTCACTGCTGTGCCCTAAATTGGTAACAAAAGCTGTAAAATTTGACCAATCCTAATTGTGTTAGGGGAACCTTGTCCGACTTCAGTTCCGACTCCTGTCTAGCCTTCCATCTTGCCCGCACAGGTTACCTATCCTTGATATGTTCTGTTGTGGACATACTTAGGCCTATACCTTAATCTTTTGCTAAGAGTTGATGGGTATCAAATACCACTGATGAGTAAATGTATTGCATCCCCTTTACTATATTCCATTGGAGTCAGAAGTGGATACACTATATTCCTAGTTTAGAGTACCTGAATTTACAAGTAAGCCACTTTTATACTTTTTAAGCACCAGATATGCTCTATCATATAGCTGAAGAGTCAATATAGTGATTATCATATGATATTGGTCAAATACTAGTGTCAATTCATGGTACTCTTGAAACCTTACCTGCTCGTACTTGATTCATGCTTTTAGCTTGAGTAGCTACAGAGATAGAGACCTATCAGTTGTATATCAGTTAGTGATTGGCCCATGCTGATGCAATTTATAGGTTACTTAATGAAAGTTGTTCATATGGTCAAGATATACCTCTTTGATTTGTAACAATGTATGACATTCTCTGGTAATTAAGCTGTTGAATATAGTAAAAAATGTTCTTTTTTTGGAAATTTGTCACAGTTAACACTCTCAGTAATACTATATGATATTGGGATCCAGGTGCTGAGACAACTTCAAGTGTAAAATTCCCTTTTAGGGAAGATGTGTCATGGCATAACTTCAGATAGCCTATGTCAGATTATTCACCCTCTACCTATTCAACTTAGCAAAAATTTGCCTTGGAGTTTAAGATTATTCATCCCACCTTTTAGCCCTTATTCATCACTCAGGAGGTACTGTCAGCACTGTGGCAGTGTGGCATATCAGCGTAATACTGATAATGTACAGTTGGTAGAAGGTATTCCTGTGTGCTATTCTATACTTAATGAGATTTCTTATTTATTGAGAAATTCACCCTATTCAACTAATATTCAAAAACTTGGGGCATAGCCCCAGCCTGTCAGGGGAACCCCCGCTTCTTTTTGCCTCCTTCGGACCCTCCGAGCGCATCCGAGGCGCATCCGACCGGCGCCCCCTCGGACGCTCCGACCCACCCCAACCCTTGTCCTTGGCCTCCTTTGCCCGCACAATCACCGATCCGTTCAGTTATCAGTGGTAACCCACTGGGTGACATTGATAAGGCTCAGTATTTTCAAGCTACCTTTATTCACCCCCCTCTAGGACAATTATTCGCCACTAGGGATGTTATGATAATACTGAGCCTTGTCAATGGCACCCGAGCACGATACTACTGATAATTCACAGTGTTGGGTGGGCTAAACAGGTGGACTCTATCAGTGATTGGTCAGGTCCGGTTTGGGATTTCGGTTGGAACCCAAACTGGACTGTTTGCCATTCAGGTTTGACCATGTTAGGTAGTTTTTAGTCCACAAACGCAGGTTAGGGGCCAGTTCAAACCAGCATTCCGCATTCATGTTTTGACAAAATCGCCTTTTGAACTAAACCAGCTGTCGAAAACGGCCAAGAACCAGACTTTGCCATCGCTTTTAATCTTTTTCTGGCAGCAAATATGTCAAACATATCCACAGATATGCAGACTAGATTATGGTTGAACATATTGATAACATATCCATATTTCACAGCTGAATATGATTATACTATCTAACAAATATATTATTGGGGCAGAGCTCTGAATATGATATGATTATAATATATTATGCCCTCAGAATAATATAATCATATTTGGCCTGCACTACTCACACTAGAGTTTCAGCCAAAAAATTGTCCCATAAGCAGGATTTATATATATAAGAGATAATGGTCCAAAACAATGGCTTTTTTGACTGCTTTGATAAATATGCAATAAAAGTTACAAAAATTATATCTGATCTACAAGACATCAAGTTCTATATCATGGTATCAAATATTGCATACATTGTGACTACCCCATTCTTGACCATGTTTTGTGAACAATAATGTTATTCAAGCCCAGATATTTGGCAAAAAAATAGTGTCCCATTATTAGTAGCACATGACTTGAGTATAGAGCTATATACACTGCACAGATATACCACTTATGCCGAAGTTTTCATGTGACTTCCGGATTCAGCGCGCGGTCCA